TTTGATTTATTTTATTTTGTATTTTATTTCCATCTTATTATTTATATAAACCTTGATTACTTTCCATGAGGCTTGCATTTTCGCTTCACATTTCTTTAATTTATGTATTACAAATAAAATCAATTGCTATCATATTGCTTATAAAAAATTCCCCATCTAATTTATTTTCGCTTTCGTCATCAAGATTAATGAAATGCGATTAAACTAAACGCATTTAGTTAAATTTGTATTGCAATTTAAGCAGTCCATAATCCCATTGACTAATGACAATAAGAAACTGTGGAAATACATTTTATATAAATTAAGAAATTTACCCTATTCTCTCTATTAAAAGTCCCTTAAGACTGACAAATGTCAATTCCCAAGTCTAACCTCACCTAATCTGTAACCCTTTCATCATTTCGTCAGAGTTTTGTTTATTATTTCGCCTTTTTTGCCAATTTCGTTTTTGCTTTCTATCACAGCTGTTGCCTTTCATAGAAAAAATTCAATTTTGTTATTTTAATAATCCATGAATATGGAATATTACGGTATATATTATCGCTGGCAATTGCAGTTGGCATAATTTGTTTATACAGCCAACATGAATCCAGCGGGCAGGCCAAATGTTTGTTTGTCTAGCTGCGAGCCTTATAGATGGCTATCAGAGCAGCCCCATGGCGATTCGTATTTGTATATGAGTCTAGGGCATAGCTCGTGGCACCCACACACATACACACGCACACACACTTAACATAAATGAGCAAACATTTTCATCTCAATTTGTACAAGTTTTGGCAACATTTAAACTAAATTTTTGCCCTCTGCAATTAATTGCAAACCATTTAAAATAATTATATATATACGTATAACAAAAAAAAAAAATAGGCAGAAATATTTGGGCTTACCGATTAGCACTAATATCACATGTAGCATATACCAAAGCTGCAAATGTGTTGCTGTTGTTGTTGTTGTAGTTGCTGTTGTCCTCTTGGCCAGGCTAACAGCTTGGCCTGCCTGTTGCTTGTGGCTGTGGCTATGGTGGTGCTGCTGCTGGTGGTGAGGGTGCTGCTCCCGCTCCTGCTGCTCCTGCTGCTGCTGTTGGTGGTGGTGTTGGCTGTGCTGTCGGTGGTGCTGTGGTAGCAGCTGCTGCTGCTGCTGACTCTGTCCATGACTGTGACTCAGTCTATGACTCTGGCTGTGACTGTGACTCTGACTGTGACTCAGTCTGTGAGTGTGACTCTGGGGCTCTGGCATACACATGCTGGCAGTTAAAACACTTTCACTTTGCCGGAAGGGTCAAAGGGCCGCAAATTCGCCTTTTGCTATTTGCCTGTTTATTTATGGGCTGTGGGCGAGCCCACGCACACACACACACAGTGAGAGTCTCACGCTCTCCCTCTCTCTCTCTCGCTCTTCCTCTCTCTCTATTCGATGTGTTTATTAATTTCTGTGTGAAGCAAGAATTCACTTATTTAATTTAGACATTAAGTTGATATAGCTGTTTGTTGTTCATATTGTTGTTGTTGTTGTTGTTGCTGTTGCTCTTCTGCTTGTTGTTATTCTTATTTTAACTGCCTGGCAATTAATCACTTTTAATCGGGAGCGCGAAATGTAACCGGAAAGCAAACGAGCAGAGGAAAGCAAAGAATGAACGAAGAATAGAAAGAAGAAGAAAAGTGAAGCGGGCGAAACTATTAAACGGCCAGGACACAGCCAACGCGCTGCCCAAAGTTAAAGACATAAATTTTGCAGCATTTTGGCCAAAGATTAATTACAACAGCAACAGCAGAGAGCGAGCGAAAGAGAGAGAGAGATAGAGAGAGAGAGAATGAGCAGCATTTGGGACACTATTGAGGCGCATGCAACATAAATTCAAAATTTTCCCCTCAGTCTCGGCTGCTGCTGCCGCGCATTTGATTTACGGCTAACTGGCAAACGCTTACAACAAGGCAATTGAGAGTCCTTGTTCAAGCACTTTCGCTGCTAGCTCGTTGTCGTTGTCCGCTGTCCGCTGTCCCTTGTCGTTGTCGTTGTTGATGCTCCGCTGTTAATATAATAATGCCACACGCTCCGCTGACCCACATGGGCCGCATTGCAGCGAAATGCCCATCAAACTTGATTAGCGGCAACTGCTCCCGCTGTCTCTGGTGTGTCCATCACTCTCTACTCTCTCTCACTCTCTCTCTCTCTCTCTCTCTCTCTCCCACTCTCTGCTGTCTCTCTCTCTCTTTGAGAACTTTCTATATTAATACGCAGCCCATTTGGCCCTATTAATTACTATTTATAACTTTACATTGGCTCGCATGTTTAGCAGTCTTTAAATTTATTACAATTACTTAAATGGAGAATTGAAGGAATTAATAGAGGAAATTATCTAAAAA